GAAATTTTATTTTTGTGTGTAGACACACACACATACACACCAGACACAGAATAAAAAACACAGGAACACAGATAGATGTCTATAGATTTTACACAGAATATGTACCATTTATAACTAGAAAACTTCATTAAATATTATATAATGAAGTTACGACGTCTGGAGGGTGTTGTCCTCTGTAGAGAAGATTGATTGGGTTTGAACGTGTTTTGTTCAGGGAAGGATTTAAAGCTGTTTTGTATGTAGTAAATAGCATTTGGGCAAAAGACTCATTTACAGTCACATAGAGACACTTCAGGCAATGGTGTGGTTGTTATTAATAAAAAAATACACCTTAGCTGCAGGAAGAATAATGAAAATTACCCAATAATTTTTTAATCATTGGCTCTTTCCTTTAGGAACTTTTTTCTTTATGTAGTTAATTAAAGTAAGGCTGTGATTTAATTTTTTTTGTTTTTTTTTTTTAAAGTAGTATTGTCTAAAGCTGTGGGATTTGATCAGAACTCTTTATCTCCTGTGGCTTCAATTTTCTGTCCCAAAGCAACAATGCCCACCTTTAAGGGTTGCTTGGAGGGTAATGTAACATAAATGCTTAACCTTAAGCAGTGGGTGTTAGCACACACTAGAATGGCAGATTAGCCTGGGGATTAAGGGCTTGATTTCTGAAATCGGAACTGGATTTTTATTTCCAGTTCTCCCCACTTCCTAGGTCTTTAATTGTATATTTCCCTTAACTTCTCTTCCTCCATTTCCCATCTTTAAAATAAGAACAATAATAGTACCTACTTTAGAGGCTTGCTCTGAGGGTATAATAAAAGGCAGAGCGTAGTGTGTAGCACAGACTAGCTTGTTGATATAACTCTTAGCTCTTGCTATAGATGGAGCTGTTTTGCATATGGCTTTACATTAACCTACCAGCAAAATTAGTTAAGTGCCTGGAACAGTAACTACTTTTGTCCTATATATAAAATATAAGTGGGCTTCCCTGGTGGTTCAGATGGTAAAGATCTGCCTGCAGTGCAGGAGACCCAGGTTCAATTCTTGGGTCAGGAAGACCCCCTGGAGAAGAGAATGGCAACCCACTCCAGTATTCTTGCCTGGAGAATTCCATGGACAGAGGAGCCTGGTGGGCCACAGTCCATGGGTTTGCGAAGAGTTGGACACAACCAAGGTAATTAACGTAAAACGTAAGTAGGTTGTCGTTTAGTCACTAAGTCACGTCCAGCTCTTTTTTTGAGACCCCATGGGCTGTAGCCTGCCAAGCTCCTCTGTCCTTGGGATTTCTCAGGCGAGAATACTGGAGTGGGTTGCCATTCCCTTCTTTGGGGTATCTTCCCAGCTCAGGGGTCAAACCTGCGCCTCCTGCACTGGCAGGAGGATTCTTTACCACTCAGCCACCAGGGAAGCCCGTGACGGAGCATAGGGCGTTGCTTTTTTGGAAAACCTTCCTTGACTAGTACTAAGTCACTGGCCACACAGAGCCCGTGTTTCCATTGTATTCTTTCACCAGTTTAGAGAGGTTGTACTGTACCTCGTGAGGCCTGCAAGCCTAAGACTTTGTTGAAATATCTTACTTTATCATCCTTAGTTTGATTTACTGCTTCCTGAGTTCCAGAAATAACATTGATCTTGTTTAGAGGATTTCAAGCCTATTAGAGTAGAGACACTGATGCATCCTAGGTTCTAGAGCAAAGGGAGCTTGAAAGTTAAATAAAAACATTTCTTTCTTTATGGTCTTTTTTGAAGGTTAGGCTCTTGAGCAAAGGAAGAATTTGTAATATGTAGTATCGTGTTCCTTGAGGTTCTGCTTGCTTTAAGTCTCCCTGGGATTGTCAAAACTTCCATTCAACCCCCTGATGTCATTTTCTTTATTGTCCTTCAGCTTACTGAGCATCTTAGCTGGATGGGTCTGGAGTTAAATACAATATGGGGCCCTGGTTTGTTGCCTCATAAGTAACTGCATTTTAAGTCTTAAATGCAGTATAAAATGAGGGTAAACAGTACCCCATCAGTGTTTAAATTCTGTGTGGAAAAATCACTCACACACAGCAATTTATGATCTCTAGGCACATCAGTTTAGTGACACAGTGACAGAGGAACAATTTTAAGGAAGCCCAGTACAGTAGCTGCCAGTTAGGAAGACAATTACAGAGTGTAAAAATGGCCAGCCCCTTCTGAGTATGGCATCTTCTGCAGGCGCCGTCATGATGGAGCACCCTGCCGCCATGCCCTTCTTCCATCATGCCTCCTGCTTCCTGGGCACACAGGAAATAGAAACCTTCCCTCCCTCCCTCTCCTCCCCTCTCTCCCTCCTTCCTGCTTTCCTCCTCCTTTCCCTTCCACCTCCCTTCTGCCTCCCTCCCTCCCCTCCTTCCTTCCTTTCTTCAAAACAAGACGTGATAATACTCAAAAGAAGTGTGGAAGGCAGTCACTTCCCTGTATGGTCTTGAGCAGCTCAGCAGTGTCCTCAGGGACCCAAGGTCTTGCATCTTCGGCTGCATCGTCCTCGGTGTGTTGACTTTGTCTTCTTACTTATTTCTTCATTGCTGCAATATGACTTAGGCTGCTCCATAAGCCATTTGTCACACAACTCAGACAAGGTTTTACGAGAGCCTGTGTAGGAGTCCACTCAGCACTCTTCTTTTTTCAGACACCTGCACGGTGAGGAGCTTAATCTGGAAGCATAGTATGGGGCAAAAATAGACAAAATTATCCTTGAAGAGACTTCATAATCCATCTTGGGCATGTGTGCAAATTAAGTGATTGCGTTTTTTAATATGTAAATTGAAAACACTTGTATCCTAAGTGGCATGTATATGTTCCAAAGCCAATACCGTCTTGAAATATATGAAGAGTCAGGGTATGATTTATTTCACTTAATCCCTAAAAAATATGTGAGTGCTTGATAATATTTTAATTTTTACTTTTTTTGCATGTGTATGTAGAAAGTTTCCTCTAAATCAGTTCCTGTCTACTTTAAATGTTTTATTTTGGAGGCATGTTTTCCCATACCCATGACCTCAGGACACTGGATGTGCAATGAAAACTACTGATAGGACTGACTGTGATATTCAAGATAAGACTTTCAGTTCACAAAATCATCTCCTCTCTTTCTTCTTAGCTAGAAACCATATTCTTTGTGAAATCAACTGAGGGAATGTTGAATTTATACTGTAACTAACCCTCTCGGCCACTGAGAAAATGCATTGCTTCATAGGCTATGTCCGTGACTTTAGATGAATTGAATTACAAGCTGTTTGAAGATGGTTTCCTGGTTGAAGACATTATCTTGCCCTCAGTTTTGATGATGCTCTCGACTCTTGATGAACTTCTCACTTCGACTTGTTTATTCCTGGGCTTATTCCTCCAGCTGTCTGTTGGTCTTCCCTTTCTGAGCATCTACAATTATATTTTTGTTTTATTCAGTTTAGTTTCTTCCTTGTTAGTCATTGGTCCCTGACTTGCCTGTTACTGCACATTTATTTCCATCATATTGTTTGACACAGACACTGACATTTTGCCCTCCATTAATTGGTTAAGATAAATATATTTTGCTGTGCAATGAGGAGCGCTCTATTTATTGTACATAAATACCTAACATGGTGACTTTTTCAGTCGTTTATAACGATTTGGGCTTAATTTCGCCTTTTTTTTTTTCATGAGACGGTTGTCAACAACCCTACTAGGCTCTGTGATTTGCATGTGAAGCTCAGGGAAGCCAAGCCCAATAGGAAGATATTATACAGAAAACTGACTCTTTCAAAGGTGGCTTCCATTTTTAAAGAGACATTGAAAAAAATTGGACTATAATGAATTTATGATTTTATTCAATCATTTCTCAGTACTTTTGGAGTTATCAAAACAGTCCTTTAGTAATTATTGATTTTCCTTGATAAACATTTATGGCATCTTTTTTGTTAAAAAAAAATATTCTTTTGTAATCTAATAAGAGTGGAAAGGGGTTAGAAACCCAACCTATAATGATATGCAAGAGATGACAGTACTGACAGTGAGTAACGAAATATGGTGTCATTGTGTTTATTTCATACTCTCTAAACTACCTGTGATGAGCTTAAGCAGTTTCATTCATGAATAGAAAAACTTTAATTATTCACCGTGCTTTGGTGTACTATAGAAGTCGAATTATTAGCATTGTAATTTGTTTGGATACCTTCTAGTAGGAAAATGTATCAGAAATAACTAATCATTTGCAACATAGGATAAGGCAACTCTATCTACAGAGGGCAATCAGAAAGAATAGCAGTGGGCTATTGATTGCTTTTTAGACAAGAAAAAAAAAATCTGTTCCATTTCTAAATGTTAACAATTGTGAGAGGAAAATCCCCACCTGGAGAGGAGTTTTCCAGGCTGCTTCGCCGCCAGGTGTTTGACATTGCGTGGAGTCTTAGGTGAATAAGGCTTGTGGCAGTCGTAGGGAACCCTGTCCTCGAGGACTCCGCTTCCTGCTATGAAGGCTTCTCTGTTCAAAGCAGGCCCGTGTCGGTGGAATGTTCCAGTGATCTCTGTGCGAAACGCAGTTTTCTCTCCCGTTGAATCTGAGAGAGCTACAGAAGAGGACACTTGCCTGCTAACAAAATAAATTTCAGAATGTTGCCAGTGAATAAATTGCATGTTTTCTACTGTTTATGGGATTGAACTCTCATCATTTATCAGTGGGAATAAACCGTGCCACCTTGGGTCCTTTTCAACATACCTGCGTGCTACAGACACGATTTACAGTCATTCTGAAGTTTAAGAAAATCCAAATCATATGATAGTTTGCTTTGAGACCGTCCGTATTTCCCCCTTTCCCTTTCTCCCTCTCCTTGACCTAGCAGCAGGAAGCCTTTGTTTGAGGTGTTCATCTGGAACAACTTTTCCACACTTGTTTTCATGTTCTGTTAGATTACAGGGCAGCAGGCCTACCTTTGAAGCTCCTTTCTCTTTTGTTTCTTCGCCGTGCACTCCAGTAATTAACTTTGTCCTTCTTTTATTTGTTCCAGTCAATCGCAGGCCACTCTGCTGAGCATCTTCTCCCAGGAGTACCAGGTTAGAAGTTTTCTCCTTTGTGAGGGTTGACAGGTGCCTAATTGAATGATGAATGTCCCTTTATTTCTTTGTAATTGAACTGCCAGCTCTCTGATTGGGTTGGAGGATGTTCTCCTTTCCACATCAAGCACCGCCTGCGTCTCAGTGGAGGCCTGCCAAGCCTACCCATCCATCTGTCTAATAACATCTAGCCTTTGCTTATTTGGTGGACCTGTAATAAATTATGCTAAACCATTATTATTCTGACAATAATAATTTCCCCGTGTTGCGTGGTTCCATGTGCTAAATGTTTGCTGACTTGCACTGTCAGTGCCGCTTTCCATTGCTGACAGAGATGATGATAAATGACCATCGCTGGAGTGGCAGAAGGCAAGAGAGGCAGAAAATGGAGTCATTTATCATGAGATGACAGGTGTCAGTCAAGTGGCAAGTCTCTATGGAATTACTTTTTGTAGTTTTCAAATAAGTTGTTTTTAAGCAATGTTCTTCCTGGTTAAAAATGGCAATTGGATTGTAAAACTAGACTGCAGAGGACTTAGATGGAATTGAATTGAGGGAAAATTAATACAAAGGTTGAAAGAGGGAACAAGTTTTTCTCTGCCCTCTACAACCCTAAGCAAACTTATTTAGATTCAATTACTATGACCCTGTTGCCTTTTACATATATACTGTACCTTGCGCTACAGACTGGAGACATCCCAGCCATGCAATAGAGATTAAAATGCATAGGTTCATAGAGTAGAAGGGAAAAAATATCTGCTGCCGCCCAAATCCCCAAACTATTATTCGGTTTGCCCTTTTTGTTAGACATGGGGATCAAGAAATATGTCATTTTTGTTCTTGAACCTGATCTACGACACGACATAAAGATCTTTTTTATTTTGTTTCAGAAACATATTAAGAGAACACATGCCAAGCATCATACTTCAGAAGCGATTGAAAGTTATTACCAGAGGTATGACCTGCCTGCCCCACTAGAGGGTATCATAATACCTATTAATTGTAATGATAATTATGAATAAATTAGATTAATAAATTGATTTTCTGTAAAACATTCCGAGACATTTTGTTTTAAGTCTGTTATTTAAGACGTAAAGTATATTTTTTTGAATTTCTCAAATACTATGTTATATAGATATAAAGAATATGGTGAGACTATCTTAATTTACATGTGTGTGAAATCTTTACTGTGTAATAAAAAGTTACAGTATTAGAAAATCCCCATTGGATGCTTGAAACTTACTGTAAGTGCATATCTTATATAGATGCATATGTTCATGCATACATATGTCTATGTGTATATGTGAATGTTCTCAAGCCAATTTTTATTTCTCATGTAAATCAGCAAGTTGAAAAATATATTAGAAAGTAAGATTGAATTTTGGTACAGTTGTATTTTGCATTGTAGGTATTGGTTAGCCATTTTAGAAATGCAAAAGAAAGATATATATCAAGTGAGGACATATGGAGATATATAATAATGTACAACTGTCAGATTTTAAGAGGGGTTTATATTTTAAAAGGAAATCTTTTAATTTCAGCCTAATTTATTATAGTTCCCAATCTTTCTTGTTCTGAAACAAAAAGAGTCTTTAAAATAGCTCCTTTTAAAAAAAATTAAAAATTTTTATCTTTGTAATATGAGTGAATAACTTATAATGGTAAATAATTATGGTTTGAATTAGAAATTGTTGGTTGCTTTCTGAAGTATTTTAGGGACATATTGGAAAGGAAAACTGTTTGAAATATAGTCTAAAATTATTATACTTAAGATTGACAGAGCAATCTTTCTATGGTGAGAATGATACCACTGACTTTAGATGAATGATTTTTATGCATGAAAATTCTATGAATTAAGTGAATATACAGATAAAATATTGGAATTATGTTTCTGTAAAGCCATATTTTTAAAGAATTGAGAAATGTTTATTGAAAAGTTATTCAAGTTAGGTTTTGTAAAAAGTATTCACTATGCCAAATGTGGTAAAGATATGTTCTGTTTTGAGTGGAAATGTCTGTTAAAGAAATATACATGCATACACACCCTACCTGCAGGCCACCCCCCCACACACACACACACTTTTATGTCTCAGAGAATTACTCTCCAAGAAGTGTTTGTAAAGTTTGAATTGACTTATTCAAAAGTCATAATCTCCTCAGTGAAATTAACATCTAAATTGAAGTCATCACCTAAATCATACATATAAAATTGAGAACGGCCCATAAAATGCCATGAAACCAGCAACTGCTTTGGCAACCAGACCCTCCACAGAAAGACTGAAAAGTGGTTCATGTGTCAAAAAGTATATTCTTATATAAAACTTATAGTCTTAGGCTTTCATATAAAAGTATTGTTCTATATCCAGACTTTAAGGCCCTGTTAACATCAACAAAGGAGAACAGCGCATTTTCTAGAAATTTGGAGATCTGCTAACAGGCCATGGGGCTGCCCTCTAATAATAATTTTTTTTTTTCATTGTATAAAGTCTGTTTTAATTATATGATTCCTAAGATCTCTAAATACTACTTTAAAAAAAGTTAGGTTCATTAAAGAGTATATTTGTTTTCTCAAGTATGAACATACTTTATTGGGTTATCTGGATAGTTTAGGCCAGAAACAAAAATCTTTCCTTTAAGTACGGTTACTCAAGGAACAGTTGACTGGGTAATAATGAAAATGAAGAAACATATTTGTGTTTCTTTAAATTTAGTTAAATATAAGAATCTCAATTTTGTGGAGTCACAATGTTTGAAACAAAAACTTGAAGTTAGGCTGTAATGGACAGACTAATAGGAAAGCAGTCTGACTTGTTTCTTACTTTATTACCCTACTTCCTTACTTTTTGCCTGACACCTTGTACTTGGAGACAGGCTTTGTTGTTACCTTTTAGATGATTTGACCTCATAGGCCTCTTCTTCTAAATGTGCAGGTTGAATGTCTCTGTATCCTGTGTGGTAAATTGGCCCAAAAAGATTTTTGTTTTCCAGCTGATTAGCATAAAGCAAAATCATATCAAAACATGCTTAAGCAGTTTGACAATCTTAACAACTTACTTTTTTTTAATAAAAGTAATACTTGCCTATTGTGAAAATTAAGCATATGTGTAATGGCATAAAAAAGAAAGGAATGAATTGCCTGTAATTGTGGCGTCCATAGATAACCACTGGTATTTTTTTTCTCTGTCTTCTGTCAATCCATTTTTACATAGATGAGGTCATACTACATATGCAGGTGTGAATTCTGAACTTAATACTTGGAAAAATGTGTATAACATAGTATTGTTTTGAAGAAAGCTTTTTGTAAACATTTTGATACATCATCATATGAAGGTATCAAAGTTCATTGAAATATTCTTCTGTCATACATATATGTTTCCAATTTTCTGATATAAATAATGCTGTGATAAATATTATGGTGCTTAAGTCTTTGCATTTTGGATTAGTTTCTCAATATTTCTGTAGATGGAATTACTGGTGCAAATAATGAACCCATAAGATTTTATTGTAATGTAATACAAACTAGAAATAATGTAATTACAACCTAGAAAGGTTGTAATGGTTTCATTTCTACTAGCAGTATCAGAGAATTCCTGTGTCTCTGTATTCTTGCTAGTATTGAGATGATCTCAATTCAGAATTTGAAGTCTGTATTTAAAACCATATAGTCCACAATGTGATTGCATTGTGGTCAACTGAAATTTCAAATTATCCAGACACCAGTAGAAAATATTTTCCCTTTGAATTACTGAGGAAATATCCTCAATTCTTCATGTTGTGCGTGTATAGACACAGCTTGAGTGTTCATATTGAAAACAGCTTTCTATTCTTTCCTACTGTAATGATGATATTTTAGTTCTAAACAGGAAACATACTTGGTAAAATTTGTTTAGATTTGTCTAGATCAGTGCACACGGGCACTGATCAATGCGTGGGTGCATACACACACACACACACACGCTCACAACTTGCTCAGATTTGCATATTTCCTCATCAGTAGCAAAGTTTAGAAACATTGTCTCATCTCCCTTCTCTCAACACATACTGTCCAAGGGGCCCCCTTGATTAGCTTTGAAGAATCAGACCAATTAGATTTTATTCAGGTGTTCACATGAGAAAAAAGTTTAGTTCAAATATGATATTGTCATCAAATGATACAAATAGTTTTGGAAAATTTGAACCACTTTTTTGTTTAATTAGCACTGTTTTCTTTGCACTCAATGTGTCCCACCTCCTGTGCTAGGAACCAAGTATAAGGACCATAAGTACCTGTCCTCAGCTGCTTTGTTCCCTGGGAAAATAGCTGCAGGCATGGAGATGGGTTCCAGAGATTTTTCGATATAGAATCAACAAAGGTGGTGTTCAGATGTAAGCTTAGTGAAGAATTTTGGTAGTTTTTGCAGTTTTACCATAATAGTTGTTATAACAATATTAAGGATTAGATAACTTTGCCTTATGCTTAAAATCAGTACATATTGTTTTTAATCTTAGATGCTAACAGATCTTTCACACTAAAAAAATGTCATAAAATGGACCTTCTGTGAAGGTCTTTTAAGGATGGTTTCACGTACAAGTTATACATTTGTTAGTCCTCCTGTGGCAAACTGAAGGATGACATTTAGTCTGTGTCATCTATTGCTTTTTGACCAGCTCCTATTTCTTTAAAGTATCTTTAAACTGGAAATATCCTATTAGTTATTACCAGGATAGTGATGGATGCAGCATTATATAAACCATATAATTTGGATTTAAGATGACAGTTTTCTGGCACAGGCAGTGATCTGGGATCTAGCTGTCCTCTTTCATTCTTTCCAGATCAACCCCTGAGAAGAGGTTCTGCTCTGGCGGCACTGGAGCCTTTCCTGGTCCTCAGACAGCCCAGGCCCATTCCTGACATTTGCACCTACTGTTCCGTTGTTGGGAATATTCTTCCTCTGATGGCTTGCTGCTTTTCTTTTTGTCTGTTTCTACTTCAGTGTCACTTCCTTAGAGAGGGTCTTCCTGACCAGCCCATCTAATTTATACTGTGAAAGTGTTAGTCACTCAGTCATGTCCAACTCTTGGCAACCCCATGGACCGTAGCCCGCCAGGCTCCTCTGTCCATGGAATTCTCCAGGCAAGAATACTGGAGTGGGTTGCCATTCCCTTCTCCAGGGAAATCCTCCCAACCCAGGAATCAAATCTGCGTCTCCTGCATCACAGGCAGATTCTTTACCATCTGAGCCACCAGGGAAACCCAACTTACATTATAGCATATGTCATTATTTTATATATTTGTTTCTCTGTCTTTTTCTTCTCTGTCTTTCCACTGCGGTATAATCTCAGTGATGGTAGGAGCTAAAATTTTGCTCCCTGCTGCTTCTTCAGAACCTGGAATAAGGTCTGACAACTAGTCAGCTCTCAAAATGTTTATGGGATAAGTGAATGTTAAGTGGAGAGTTGTAAAGATATCCTATTATAGGCTTAAATACCCTGACCCAGAATCAGAATGCTTAATGGATTAGTTAAGCATCTGGTTAGTTACTCCAATTTGATGGAACTGATTGGTTGTTTCTTGAGCAGGCCTATCCGTGCAATGGAAATTCTGTAAGTTGATTGTGAAGGTCTTAGCTGACCTATTTCCCAAGGATCTTTCTCTCAACCACACTTGCTTTGTTTGTTTTTATTTTTGTTTTGTTTTTCCTTTGATCTTGAAATGAAAGTACTTATTTCCCAGTTAGATTCCTAAACAATTTAAGGAAGAGCCAACAGATGAAAATGGATTTATTAAAATTACTTTGAAGTTATAATGATTCCGAGCCTTTTACCCACCTTAAATAATTTGATTTTATTCCACTTTTGTTGGAAATTATACATCTTTATAAACATACATGTAAAATAGTATAATTTCATTTAGTATTTTCTCCCGGCAGTTACAAAGAAGACCTCATCTGTTGACTTTGATTTTAACTATTGAACAAATGTCATTAATTTATTCAATCAAACAGTACACTGTAGAGAAAATGTTCATACTTAATTCTATTTTCTTGTCTAAAATGTTTTTAATTAATTACTCATAATAAATGAATTTAATAAAAAGAAAAAAAATATGTATTACAATATAATTACCTATTATAAGCCAAGAACTGTGCTACACATAATAAACTGAATAAAATGAAAGTTTTCTACCCTCATGAGGCTTTCAGCCGTATAATTGGGATGTGTCTGAGGTGGACGAGTAACTCAGCAGATACAGTGTTCTGGGCTAAGCGATGGAGAGATGAACAGGGTGCTCCTCGACTGTACATTGAGGGACACTTAACATAGTCCTGGTTGTGGTGGATGAAAAAGGTGCTGTACAAGGTGGTTTATGAGTTATCCAGGTGAAAGGTCAGAGTGGGATGCAGTGACTAGAAATGAGGCTGGCTGAAGAGAGTAGGTAGGAACCAGATTACAAAGAACCTTACAAGAATTTTTAAGTGATTATAATTTAATTTTGAGATTTTGTTTGGGGCTTTTGAAATGTTTTAAGAAGGAGAATGGTACGTTCAAATTTTTGTTTTAAAAAGATCAGCCTGGCCTCCACGTCTGGGATGAATTTGGGGACTCTTTTGTTTGTTTGTTTTTGTAGTGTTAGGAGATGAGGAGAGCTAGAGGTCGTGACAGAAATCTAGAGCAGATAAGGTGATGGCTTATGTTGCCTGTTAAAGGGTTGGTGACCCACTGATGAAAAGTTTGTTCCATTCTTTTTCCCTAATCAAGTGCCAACCAACCCTGTGAACTAAAAGTAAATCAAAAGATGGTATGCTTGCATGGATTCTTTTTTCATGAGTGAACTTATTTCCTTCCCATGAAGTGGTTATGGTATAGATAATGCCAGGGTAATAGGGTTAGTTCTTTTCACCTCTCTGTTCACCTTACACATTAGGAGGAAAAAACAAGGAAGATGGGTATGCTCAGACCTTCTGCCCCCAACTTCGCTTAGTTAGTTGCCAGTGGTTTTGAGGTAAGCTGTTTTTGTTATTCTTTTCCCTTCAGTGCTTTCCTGTGACAGTAGCATACTTTAACTAGAGCTGAGTGTGGCATTTGCCCAGGAAAAACATGTACACACAGGGGATGCTGACAAGTCTATGCTGGCCTTTTCTTGTCACTGCCTTACCACTTGGCTTTGTCTTATCTAGGTATCTGAATGGAGTGGAGGAAAATGGAGCTGCCCCAGTGCTCCTGGAGCTAGCCAATGAGGTAATGTTATTGTTGTTATTTTATTTAAACCTACATAAAACCTAAGGGGCCTATGTAGAGTGGCTCTGCTTAGAATTATAATTAACCTTAAAAAAAAAAAGAGAGAGATTTTGAGGTGCAGCAGACATTTAAATTGTTCCCTGGTCTCTTTGTACTTTTAATAATTGGACCGAGAGCTTCATGTATTAATAAATCAGTTAACTTAATTAGTCTGTTTCTTTTAAAATAAATGAGTAAACAGCTCCTTGATTTTTTATTTTGTGGGAAATTTCAACCAAACAGCTCAGGACATGCTCTTCTTTAGATGTGTTGTCTTAATTTAGTGTGAGAAATACCTGTGTCAAGTACAGAGACGTATGGCAAGAAACCCATGCTGTTACAAAAATGAAGAGAGAAATTGTGTACCTAAAGATGTAACATTTACTTGACTCATTTTTGTTGTTAGCAAACTTTTATTATATTAAAAGATACATGCCTTCCAGAAGTCTTTCTTTATATGGAGAAGCATACTGTTCTTATTAACACTAAGGATGAAGTTATTTATTGAACTTATTTGTTAACTCTTATCTGCTTCTGTTTGGGGAAACAAATAATAGTCTTACATTTAAAAAAGGAAACCCTAAAGACTTCCCGTGAATGAAGAAGCTGTAAAAAGTTCATAATAGTTGCAGAGAGCACACCGAAAAAATAAAATATTTAATTCCTAAACTTTAAAATATTTATTCACCGTAATAAGAGCAATACAATATTTAGTCTGACTTGGAACTGCTTATGCAAACCTCATAGGGATGGAATGAAATGTACACTGTTTTCATGTTGCATTATAATAGAAAACATAGAAGCAAGGCAGAAAATGTGTGTTTGCATTAAAGATGACTCGGTACTGTGAGC